ATAGACATGAAGGCGATTGTCGCATCCATGATTTCAGGTTGTTCTATTTTTATTTTGTTAATGTTAATTTTTATATGATTCTAATCTTCCAAATAAAACTTCTAATTGATTCAAAAAAAAAAAATACAGAACCTATATTTTAAAATCGATTAATCTATACATATAATAAAATTCTAACTAAGCCGAATCTGTACATTAAATATTTTCTGGAAAATCTTATTGAAATAGACATTACTATATACAGAGGCCGAATCTATAGTTTTTAGCATTTTTGTCTGTCTGTCTGCCTGTCTATTACCGCATCACGAGAAAACCACTGGACAGATTTTTATTAAATTTGGTGTGATGATAGCTGGTTATTCGGGTCAACATATAGGGTACTTTTTACCGCGGGAAAATATCTCATTTCTGAGATAAAATACAAAAACTGCAATGTAAGAGTACACTAATATATAAAACCTAAGAATTTGGTTTTTGGTCGTCTGAACGCGGGCGAAGCGGCGGGCAATGCTAGTAAGTTAATAATTTCATTATAATGACATGACATGACACCTATGTGCCGCATATTCCAATGCGTCATCCTTTTACGTTCTATTCGCAAAACTCCAAGAGCCATAGAATTTCCGCCAAAATTTTTTGCGCATTCTATAATAAGTAGGAAATACTCAGAAATATTAAATATTTTTTCTTAGCAATCACTAGGGGCATCATAAGTAATATATGTATTAGTTACATAGATAAAGAAAATAGTGAAGCAATCCAGTTAACATAATTAGTCGGGAAAGTAGATTTTATTAAAAAATAGAGGCGACGTCGAGACGCGTCGCGGCGCCACTGGCAGCGTTGGCAGGACGCCTGTGTAGTGTTTGTTTGTGATCGTCTTCACATCTGTTTCGTAAAACATCCGACTGTGTCAGTACTCGACTAATTCTCTTCCCAATCAGTACTGGTGGAGTAACATTTCAATTATACTAAGACGCCATTTTTTTAATAACATTCAATATTGGTTTTTCAAAATGTTTTTGCTGAAGACGTTGAGAAAGTTTGTGGTACTTTTGTTTGACATAAAGGAAGTGTTTAGTGAATCTTTAATTAATGTGTTACTAAAAGATAGAGCGGGGATCTTCACGCTATAAAGTAATTGTCATTCTGTACTAAGGTACATTCGAAAAAGGGTATGCGAAGTCTAAGAGAAGAAGTTACGCTTGTATAAAAAACTGTTTTATAAATATACATAATAAAAGACTGATTGACATCTCTCGATAGTGAATCTCGCACTTCTGCGAGTATCTAAATAAAGACAAGCGATCTTTCTATGTTCAAAAGAATGTCGGGATTAAAAAGATGTATAAGTCAAGTATCGATGCTAATGACTGGGAAACCGATTGTTTCATCAGAATCTGCTTGGAGAGATGAGCTACAGAAGTGAGTTGAAAATAATCTTGTATCTTTTAAAAAGTAGTTTTAATAATAGAACCGATGTTTTTAAGTTTTCAGCGGTGTCTAATGTGAGAGTGTGAATATTTACGTCTTTTTTTTTTGTTATTTGAAAATTTTTAAAATTTGGAACGTTTCAGATAACTCTCGCAAAATTGCAAAAAATGAACACTTTTAGCCATTATACTTAATTTGATTTACATGTTTTATTACCATACTTAAGCAAGCTTTACCGTAATACCTGAACGTTTACTAAATATATTTAAGAAATTTAAATATAATTTTTTACTAATTGCACTTTCAACATCCACTTAGTTGTACATATTTTAAGTGCATAGTAAATAAAATATTACTAACCGTTAGTGATATTGATTACTCACGAGTAAAACATCCTTGACTTCCCTTTAAGATAGAATTATATTTTCCAAACATATTCATAGATCAAGGCGTAGTTGTCTCAGCCCAAACACGTCCACTACTGGACATAGGCCTCCCGCAAAGATTTCCACGACCCAAACCTAGTTGTACACATGAATATTTTATTCTTTAATAAACATTTGTTTATTTTATCCAAGTGTTGCTTTGCTTTAAATTATACGATCAAAGTAGATTTAGATTGAACATAGCTGTAATGTTTTGTTGTATTTGTGTTTATACGTTTTAGCGTTGTGGAAATCACTCGAGTCTACTTAACACGGCGTGACGTGATCGCAATCAACGAATCAATTAAGCACGTAATACGATACCAGATAATGATTATATGAAATATCTGTAAACGATGTGTTAGACATTTAACATATTGATTGTTTTTTTATTGAAAATTGAACACAAATTGTATTATTGATAAAATTTAAGCCTAAAAAGGCATTACTTACACATACAAGCTTATAGCCATAACCATATACATTATACATACAATTTAAATTTTAAAATTATGTTACATAAAAAATAGATATGAATATGGATAATATTTATATTAACGTTTAGTACTCATTACTCGTTCGACATACATACATATGTCTTTGTCGAGTTAGTAATTAATGAAATATAAATGAAAAGGACAGCCTAGAAAACTTTGGTGTACCCATCGTTGTAGCAGCTTACGTCACAAGGATTGACGTCAGGACGTCGCTTATGTCAACAATCTTAACACACAATTTGTCTTTAACTGAAGCACTCTGAAATAAGAAATATAAATATAACTCTGCTATAAGTAGTCGACTACTAGCCAAAGGTCTTGTAAGAAGTTTCTCAAATAGCAAGAGGAAAACCATCGAAAATCTTGTCTTGTATTTATCTGTATTAAGCTGTTGAATTTCGATCAAATTGAAAAATGCATTATGTAAATCTGAGAGAAAACATAATATTTGTTAATCGGACTATGAGCTGAGCGACCTACATGCCTAGATCTGTATTCAAACTAAGGAAGATTTAAAAAAAATATAATAAAACACGTTTTTAATAACTGTATTAGGACTTGTCAAAACAAATCTAATGAGTTCAAAGCCGTAGAGTCAAAAAGTAGGATTTAATTTCTAACAAACGTGCGTTCACCTTAGTAGTTGAATGCGTAAGCGATCCTGCGACGCCCCATTAAGACGGGGGAAGGCTTTGTTTAGTACTGACTTTGCTGGTGAGTCCCACACCTCGTGCGTAAATGCATTTTCCAACGTTAAAAAAAAAAAAAAGGATTTAATTTCTAGCTCCACTTACAGCTTGCAGCTCCACTTATGTTTCAATATTGAATTTAAGTATGCAAATAAAATAAAATGTATCTATCAATAATCCATTTGAAAGTAAAAATTCTTAAAAGATGCACACAACCGTATAGTATGTTGAAAGGTTAACTTATTAGGTAGGTACTACGCACAAGTCATCTATCATTTCTTAGATATCTCGACGTTTTATTCATAATTTTTTTTAATTATTATAGGTACATTATATATTATAGGTACTCGTATATTTACAATCAAGAAAATTACATATATATTTAATTCTATATTCAAAACCAATGTACACTTAATTATTATTGTACAAGTCATGTTCGAGTGGAATAGTGGCAAGAATGCTAGTGACATTCCCCCGCTAATCAATTTAATATATCAAAACCTGAAAAAAACCTGTACTTAACAAAATGTGTAAGAAATAATATCTTTATATTCTTTTTATAACTTAAACATTATTTACATTTGTGTGATTTCTTCTACGTAACTTTTTTAACCTTGTACAAAATCTGTTCTTTCGTGAACTGCCAATAACTGGACAGTTCCAAACCCAATAGGTTGCTTATTCAATTAAATTTATAAGGCCTCCTGTAAACATGGAAAACCTTTTTAACCCTTTTATTATACCACTCGATCATATCTCTTGATATGAGATAATAAAAACACGCATAAAGCTTATGTGTAAAGCTTTGATAATCCTAAAGTGCTCTGTGCTCTCACTTAGGTTATGTAGGCCGCTTTTGTAATGTAGGTACTACTTTTGAATCCTATACTGGTAATATAATCCTACCTCTTCATTCAAATTCATTCATACATATAATAAAATTTTAACTAAGCCGAATCTGTACATTAAATATTTTTTGGAAAATCTTATTGAAATTAACATTATTATCGATACACGATATTATTATTTTAGAATTTTTGTGTCTGTCTGTCTGTCTGTCTGTTACCGCATCACAGAAAAACCACTGGAGGGATTTTGATGAAATTTGGTATGGCGATAGCTGTTTATCCGGAGCAACATATAGGATACTTTTTACCGCGGGAAAATGTCTCATTTCTGAGAAAAAATACAAAAACTGCAATGTAAGAGTATACTAATACGTTAAGCCTAAGAATTTGGTTTTCGGTCATCTGAACGCGGGCGGAGCCGCGGGCAATGTACTAGACATTATAAAATTAAAATTGTGAAGTTTAATTGTAAATAGAACTCCACTGATCTATGTGTATGCGCGATAAATAATGAGAATTTACACAAAACTTCTAAATTCAAATAAAAATAAAATATTAACGTCGTCATTTATATTTCCAAGTAACGAAAGTGCGACTGGCGCCCCGCATATCCAAAAACAGGTAGAAAGTGCGAACCTGGGTGCTGCGTCATGCGTGCTCTTCATACTTGCTTATGTGTAAATATATATGTGTAATATTATAATGTAAAAATTTATCTTAAATTAAATACGAATTTATATTTGTCACAATCTCTTAAACTATGAAACATCGCAAATTTTTTCACGGTTTTCTTGCAGTAGACAGAGAAATATGATTAAATATGGTTCTCACTATTTAATCATATATATTAAATTTTGTTCTCACTGCGTGTTTTAATGGAAATACCTAATGCTCTTCATGATCAATGTTAACCAGATTGTGACAGGAATCTATAAAGTTACTTGTAACATTAGGAAGAGGGTCCGAGGGTCATTTTGGACCCTCTTCCTCAGATACACTGTGATTTTCGAGTAATTAAAATATTAATCATTCACTTATTTAAAAGTATTAAAGATAATGTTATAAAATCAGTATTATAAGTTTTGTAACCTATTTTTTTGTCTACAGATACCGCAATGCCCGATATGCTGCGAGAAGAGTTCGCAAGCGTGTCATATTCAAACATGGAGACTGCAACGTGGTCCAATGGAACGTAGCGAAACGCAGGCGCCGGTACCTCCAGGACATCTTCACTACCCTTGTGGATGCGCAATGGCGCTGGACGCTGCTCGTATTCGCTCTCTCTTTCATCCTTTCGTGGCTCTTGTTTGCTCTCATCTGGTGGCTAATCATCTTTACCCACGGCGATCTCAGCCCTCCCACAAACTCTTCTGAGACTTTTGTCCCTTGCCTCAATAACGTCAACTCCTTCACCGGCTGCTTCCTCTTCTCAGTTGAAACCCAGCATACTATCGGGTATGGCTCCAGAACCACGAATGAAGAATGTCCAGAAGCAATTTTCGTAATGTGCCTTCAGAGTATTGTTGGTGTCTTCATCCAAGCTTTCATGGTGAGTTATTGTATTTTGTCTTATACTCATTTACTAATTATACTCATTAAACGTTAAAATATTATTAATATTGTCTAAAATATTTCAAATCTAAGAAAGCACGTAAATAAATATTATAGGCACTGAACAATGTTACAAATGTTTGTGTCTCCTACAAATAATTTATAGTCAGTTTAGAATGGCACAAGATTTATTAATACTCGAAACTCTTATTCAATGGTTTCTTCAAATGAAATTCGCCTAACAACAAAGCATTTGTGACGAATACACTATTTAAAATAAACTATTACGACATCAATTCGATTAAGGGTTATCAAAATACCTTTTTATTTAGAAATCTTCCTGCTTCGGAGCCAATAAGATAATATAACATTAAAATAAATTTGGAAGCTAGCCAATTGTATACGTACGAATATGTGATCCAGATGCTCACTTAAAAATAATTACAAAATTAAATACGTATTTCCACTTACATATTTATATTTCATGAGATTATTACTATATTAACTGAAATTTTAATTTCATTGACGTGCTCGTGGGTGAAGCAATGTAGAATTTCATTAGTAATACTCGTATTTTATTATAAATATAAAAGTAAAGCACGCTTAGGTATACCTAGTAGAAATGAAAAAAAGAAAAGCATATATATAAGAACTGTTTTGAGAAAATGTTCCAATTTTAGGTGGGAACTGTGTTTGCTAAGCTCTCTAGACCAAAAAAACGGGCACAAACCCTGCTCTACTCCCGGAATGCCGTCATTTGCCTTCGAGAAGGACAGCTGTGTCTCATGTTCCGCGTCGGTGATATGAGGAAATCTCATATTGTTGAAGCACATATAAGAGCACAAATAATTCGCCGCAAGGTATATTTTTACGACAAAGCGGAGACTGGTTAGTGATTGGGGATTTCAGTCAGCACGCTTCCAAACCTTTCCGAACTTGTTTACCTGTGATCGGAATTGAAATCTATATTGTTGCAAATCACTCGCGGTATAGGTTTTGATTCCTATTATAATACTTAAAAAATGTTAACTCATAAGGATTCCTTGTCTTGTCCATAGGTGGGTCTAATATTTGCAAAGCTGGCGCGGGCCAAAAAACGTAACACCACGCTTCTCTTCTCACGGAACGCAGTAATATGCCTTAGAGACGGGGAATATTGCCTGCTGTTCAGAGTGGGTGACATTCGCAAGTCACACATTCTGGAAGCCCATGTCCGCGCCCAAATTATTCGGAAAAAGGTTGAGTACCTTTTGTGCAAAAATATTTTCATTTTTTATTGTTGTTGTTGTTGTTGTCATGTAAAGCACGTTTACTTTACATTTTAAGTTTATTTTAATTAGACCCATCTATGGATTGCCTAACTGCACTCATACTCTACAAATCACCTTCAATTTTGCTTTTTATGTGCATTAACATTACTGACTTTTATTGTTGTGTAATTACTTTTATATAACTAAACGTAGGAAATGGCTTTATGTAATGACTTACGTTTTTTAAAGTTCATTAAAAGAAGATATATAAATAACTTATAATTGTATACTAACGCTATTTTATAATAAAAAATGTTAATGTTTATGAAATTTCTTGTATATTTAAATGTAAGGGAGCTTTTAAATGATAACATACTATTATTATCGGTGTTAGAATTTTAATTTTCAATTTGAGATCTCATGTCATATTTTAAATACGCTTAATTTAACCGTAATAGATAATGCATGATATGTAGAGCATGTTTAATGTAACGTTACTAAATTTAGTTTCATCTTACTTCTGGTGAAAGTTAGACTGGTTGGTAAAGTGACATTTTTGTAATGATTCAATCATAACGCTTAACAGATCACAAGGGAAGGGGAGATGTTGCCCTTCTATCAACAAGAGCTGAAGGTGGGGGCTGATGGAGAGGAAGACCGGCTAATGTTCATTTGGCCTATGACCATTGTTCATAAGATCAACGAAAAATCCCCTCTTTATAACTTGACCGCAGAGGACATGTTAAAAGAGAGATTTGAAATTGTGGTCATGTTGGGTAAGCATTCATATGTATTTTTTTATTTATTACTAGCGACTCACCCTCGCTCTACTCGTATTCGTCCCAGTTACATTTAAACGTTTAGCTCAGAGATGAAATATTTTCCTGCATTAAAGAGTATCCTATATGTTGATCCGGATAACAAGCTATCTTCATACCATATTTCATCAAAATCTGTACAGTGGTTTTTTTCGTGATGCGGTCACAGACAGACTAAAAATTTTAAAAACTATAGATTAGGCCTCTGTGTCGACAATAATGTCTATTTCAATAAGATTTTCCAACAAATATTTAATATACAGATTCGGCTTAGTTAGAATTTTATTATACATATGTATAGATTATCTGTAGTATTTTGTTTATTCTTTATGTACCTGGATTAACAGTACCTTGTAGCACTCTCCTAACAATGAACTATCTCTATGCAAACTTAATGAAGCAACCTCAATCTGTTTGTCGATTCCTGCATGAAATAAAGACAAACTAATGAGCACATTTTCGCATCTGTTATATTAAGTGAGGATTTTCAAAACTCGGACTATTTTTATAAAACATTTTATTAATATAAATCTTAATCAGTGAGCGCATAGGTACTCTTGGCACACAATTTACGAAATATTGGTCGCTTGCCCTAAACTGTATACAAACTATGGCACGGATATATTCATAGGATATCACGAATAATTTGCATGCCATTATCCGCTATTTTTCTGAGTGGGTATATATTTCCTGTGGACCTGGTTTCTTTAAAGAGGTTACTTATCTCCGATCAAGACCACCGCTTCTTTTTCTTCTTCTTCTTCTTGTGCTGTTTGTGGTGTTAGTCTTTCGATCCCAAAGTGTCCCAGTATTCTAACAGGCTGCCGGTGTCCTGGAAGATTTCCGGGAGCGATCCTCTGGGGCCAAGTTTCTCTACGCGTAGTCGTTCAAGACCGCCTCTTGCATAACAATGTATTATTTAATTCTGATTTATGAAATACGTTCTACACATTCCCTTCAATTTAGTTAATACTTTAAGATATTCAAGCATTTTAATATATATTTTTTATAATTTTCAGAGGGCGTTATAGAGTCAACCGGTATGACAACACAGGCTAGGAGCAGTTACTTACCATCAGAGATCCAGTGGGGCCACCGCTTCGAAACTATGGTATCATTCCGAAAAGAGACGGGAGAATATGAGGTTAGAAAATTAATATATTTGTTAAAATATACTTTACGTCAATACCATTTTAAATCATTGCATGTGAAATTTGCAATTTTAAAAATGATAATAGTACATAAACGATTGTGATTACACTATATTTTGTTTTCTAATAACCCATTAATTTATCGTGCTAAATGACTCGATAATCTTCTAATATGTTATATTTATGCATTCATCGACCTTTATCGGAACAGGATTTAAATAATGTTAGAATCATAAATCATAGTAATTCTATATGGACTTAGTCAAAATTACGAATTTAAGATGTGAATCCGTATTTATCTACAGTAAAACGAAACTGAATAGCATTTAGCATACTTTCGGAGTATCGATATTTATCAAAAAACTTTTATATAAAACTAGCATTTCCCGCGTTCAGATGATCAAAAACCAAATTCTTAGGTTTTACATATTAGTATACTCTTACATTGCAGTTTTTGTATTTTTTCTCAGAAATGAGACATTTTCCCGCGGTAAAAACCGTCTTATATGTTGATTCGGATAACCAGCTATCACCATACTAAATTTTGATCAAATCCCTCCAGTGGTTTTTCTATGATGCGGTAACAGACAGGCAGACAGACAGACAGACAAAAATTCTTAAAACTATAGATTCGGCCTCTGTATTGATAATAATATTTATTTCAATAAGATTTTCCAAAAAATATTTAATGTACAGATTCGGCTTAGTAACAATTTTATTATATGTATAGATTTTAAAAGCTTTTGACCTTTATATCCACTATATTAGATATAAACGAAAAACTTATGTAATTTTTGGCTACTTAAGAGTGTAGTTTTAAATGTCTTGACGCTAAGCGGTTGCGTGGCATAGTAGGTATGTGCCGGACTAGCATTGTCTTTTACGCGGGTGTTTACAAATTCAATCACGGGACGATATAAAACCTTAGACAACGTGAGATTGTAAGACAGATAACCAAAGTAGTATAAATACAAGACTAAATAGCTACTACCTGAGTGATTAAATAGTACATTTACTTGATAATTTAAAAAAAAAACATACATAAAATAGCCCTTATAAACACGAATAGGATAAAATAATGCGCAAATATAATGCGAATTTAGAATATGAGTCAGATTAATCTTCGTTTTCTAAATTTCGTCATATGTATAAATCATTTGCAACAAAATCTCAGTGACGTCATGCTTAGATTTTTTGTGTTATAATTTCTTTTTATAAGATAAAGAAAATTTATAATCATGAGATACTTGGCGCAGTTTTAATACCTAGCTAGAAGTTAGTAGTTCCCAGTTTGGTTTTGTTGGGTTTTAGTGGGTAGTACTGGCTTTATTACGCCGGTGAGTCCCCCACCTCGTGCGTAAATGCATTTCCCAACGTTAAAAAAAAAAAAAGAAGTTAGTAGTTCTCTGAGAAGATTTTTCACTGTCACCGTCCATTCTTTATTATTCAGTAGTAAGATAGATATCAAATTTCAACGTTATTGATGTTAGCTCTGGGGTTTATTTAATTCAAACACTTAAATAAAGATGTTTGAGTAAAACGTGAATGCTTTATGCAAGCAAATTTTAATTCTAAGGTTGAAACTTGAAAGATCTGTAAGATATCCGAGCAAAGTGTGACTGTGCCAAATTTTTTACTACAAATACAATACTATGAAAAGTTCGGGTTATTTTGTAGGTATATTATTATGTTGTGGTTACATAACATTTTTTTTTTATTTTGATGCTGAATTCTTTTAGTTTTATATATACACTAGCATTGCCCGCGGCTCCGCCCGCGTTCAGATGACCAAAAGCCAAATTCTTAGGTTTTTCATATTAGTGTACTCTTACATTGCAGTTTTTGTATTTTTTCTTAGAAATGTAATATTTTCCCGCGGTAAAAAGTATCCTATACGTTGACGCGGATAACCAGCTATCACCATACCAAATTTCATAAAAATCCCTCCAGTGGTTTTTCTGTGATGCGGTAACTGACAGACAAAAATTTAAAAAACTATAGATTCGGCCTCTGTATCGATAATAATCTTTATTTCAATAAGATTTTCCAAAAAATATCTAATGTACAGATTCGGCTTAGTTACAATTTTATTATATGTATAGATTATCTGATATGTGAGAAATTAGAAGTCTATAAATTACGTAGGTACGTTATAAGTGATGCAGATTATTACTTACTATTGATTGTATAATAGCATTTTTTCCTTCACAATTATATTTTTTTAGAAAAACAACTTCACAAGTTGCAAGCTTATGATTGTATGAACAATATTTTCCTCCCCGTTGATAATTATTAACATTTATTCTCATATTTCTTATCTTTACTTTTCTTACTAAGATAATAATATATTATTAACAAAGAATGACCTCATCTTCAATTCTGCAGTTTAACGTCAGTCACAATGGTCTAATATTTCGTCATCAGTACCATAAATATAACATAAAACTTTTTATTTTACCCACACACGATCTGAATACACGACGTAAGTACTCTTAAAATTGAGATTCATTCAGATATTTTTATAGACGTCCGTGAAACATCAAAACGACTTTAACATGTTAATATTTGTGTTTACAAAATAATTATGTTTATTTAAAAAAAAAAAAACATCTGCGTCTTTTTCAGGTGGATTATACAAGATTCAACAATACCTATGAAGTAGATACGCCTCTATGTTCCGCAAAGCAACTGGATACGCTGCGCGCCACAGTGTCCACTTCGCAGAAATTAGGTGCGTTAGATAATCTTTTCCTTGATGAGAATATTTAAATAAACCTTCTTACCTTAACTCTTAAATGAGATTTCTTGGAATACAACAAATTCATTTATTTTTTACTACAATATAAGTCAAGTCTAATAATACGTCACCGTGACAGGTCTGTTAGATGCTATGGGATAAAAAATATTGAAAGTTTTTTATCTGTGTTCCTACAGAGATAGATATTTATGTTTATATATTTTTATTTTCAGATCGTTTGTTAGGCACCATTCCGAAAACATTCTCCAATGATACGTTAGATATTAGTTCTGTCGACTCTATGTCTTTAGACGAGCAAATCGAGTTGAAAATTACTGAGGCGAGAGCTAGAGAAAATAGACTGATGGCTCAAAACAATTTCATTCACCATATCAATGAGAAGAGCAGGAATAATAGCAACAATCACTTGGCTGTTGAAAATGGTCATGAGATGGGTCCAAAAATTAATTCAATCGTTCCTGGAGTAGATGTTAAAACAGATAATAAAGAGAGAGAGCATAATCACATACACAGATCCCACAGTCACGCGAATATCAAAAAGCTACATGGCTTAACACCGAATGGAGTTAACCACGTCAACGGCCATGACCACAAACTTGAACAAAATAAGATTAAAAAGTAAGTTGGTAATAACTTGTTTCAAAGCCTGTCTTAGACTTGTTCTTTTTATTTCTATAAAAGTACTTGGAAACTGCTTTTGAATATATTTTTAACTATATAGTTTTAATTAAAGTTGATTTTAATCAGTGATATAAGTATATATAACATTACTTATTATTTTTAATTTATTATTATCGATTAGTATTTCGGACTATGTGCATACACGCTCGACATGTCTCTATCAACCACTAACGGTTGAGACAAGTTACGCGTTCAATAGTCAAACTCAAGGTCTCTGCTGATATGCAGCGTATTTTTGACCGACTTCAAGGAAAAGCAGTTAATTCGTCACAATTTTTTTATTGGTATATAACACGATATCTTGGCCAATCGTTAATTAATTATAATAATTATTTTTTGATAAAGAAGTATACCTCTAAATGGGTCAATCATATGATTTAAAAAAAAATACACTTGTGAAGGTTATGTTATTAAAGAATAATTACATTGTGATAGTAAAGTCAGAGACATTGACATATATATATATATATAGAAAGTCTGTTAAAAAAACTTGTTATATATATATATATATATATATATATATATATATATATATATATAACAAGTTTTTTTAACAGACTTTCTTGAACTACATCTTATTAATAATTATTTTTTTCCAGATCCCCCAGCGAAAACCACATACAAGAGCACACACCGGTAATCCCCATCGTTGTGACGTCCGCGGACCCCGACGCCTGACCCCGCGCCACGCGCCCCCCGCGCGCGAACTATACCCACGTCAGGTTTAGTGAGAGCATGTACACTGTTGAAGTAAATGATTTACCTAAACGAATATGGTTGAGTCCACAAGATATAAAAAATAGCAAAATTTACTATTCGCATTAGGCTAAATTCAAAGACATAATGAAAAGTTTTCGAATTAGTATAAAAGTTTATAGTACATACATATAAAATATATACTTAATTAATACCTTGTGCCAAAATTAGACGTTTATAATATCATTAATATAAAAACAAATGTGATATTTATTACTTTAAGCGATAATGCTTAACACTTAAAATAATGAGAAGTGCCTAAATAATATATAGATGTAAAAGCTTTCCAAAGATTTTATTAGATAAAATTCTCTATATCTTTTTCTTTATTCGAATTATATAAAAGCATACTTAAAAATAAACTTAACTAGCTATATCCCGGAAGAGATTGAATACATCTACAAATTTTCACTGGCTTAAGGCCAAATGCTCTACGACAGCTGCTAAAAACGCAATAAAATCGATTTAATTATTTTAGTGAAGTGATCGTAAGAAATAACATAAGATAGATAAAGGTTTAACGGTTATTTAATTCTTAACCTTCATCTTCGATGATATCACTTCCAATAATAAAATTTAAAGAGCACATAATGACTACTTAAAAGTTACTTATTATAATATAACTATAGCAAATTGAAATATAATACAATTAATTTTCCAAAGGATTTGTATGCATAGTGACGAAGAATCTTGAGCCCGATTTCACCAACAACCCATAAGCTACCACCTACGTATGGGATCCCTAGCTTAAAAGTTCCCTAAACTAGCCCCTTAATTAAATTTCGTTTTACGATCGTCTTTAAGCCCATATTTCTATCACCTAAATTTAGGGGGCCTTTTAATATTTAGGTGACCCCTAACTGTCGGTGAAACATAAACTGTCCCGTAACAGCCCCCTAACTATGCTTAAGGGATCCCTTAAACTTAGGTGACGTTGGTGAAATCGGGCATTAGTGTTTTTATAATAACAACTTAGTGTTTTTTATATATACAATATCTTGTGGAACGAAAATTTTCCATGTTTCATCTATTTCAACAGTCGGCAAAAGAGACAGGGTTGTATTTAGACCAAGTATTTATTTAGTTTGTATTAGTGAAATTAGGAAGGAGGACTTCTGTACCGATACAGCTTTAAAATTATAAACCCGTTTCCTTAATTAACTATTTTAAAAATTAGGGTTTATTTCTATCAAAAGTCAAACTAAAGATAGAAAATTTTCCACTACGAAGTTCAATGTCAAGTACATATAAGGCATTAGTCTTATGAATGACCGTGAACAAAACAAATTTAAGCTTATATAAAACCATGTTTTACCTTGTTAACTCTGTCGATGTTATGTAAATTACAATTAATTTGTAATTTTTGTCGTACCAGTTTATAATGTATTGAGCTTAATAAATCGTATACAATGTGTTAAAACAAAGGATTTAATCCGGACATAAAAATATAATTGATGTACAAATTAAAAAGTAGCCTTTTGCTTCACGCTAATGCCATGTTAGATTAAAAGTATTATAAAATGCGTTCCTTTATAAGAATAGTCATAATAAGTACTTATTTATGTATAATATTATAGTTAATTATGATTTAGATGACTTCTGATATATATTATCATGCTGAGTTTAATTTTTACCAGTTTTTAATTAATTAATTTATTAAATTAAGTGTTAGTTATACTAATGCTTGATATAGAAAATGAGCAAAATATTGAAATATTTCTTCATACGCGCTAATTATTATAGGCATTTGTATATAGCGAAGCTAAATACTTTTGTAATTTTACCTTTCATACAACTTTGTTTATACAAACGTGTATATATAATCAGATTCATACAATTTATTTTGATATAAAGTTTATGTAAAAAATTTATTAAAATTATAAATGTCATGTTCAAAAATATTTTATATATGAAATATATTTATGAACTTCATAAAATGGCTGTCATCATGAAAATTATTGCCTTTATTTTTAGACATCAGGGGCCTATACGGCGCTGGCGCCGCAAAATTATATAGTCCAATGAAAGCTTCTTATCTCTCTGTTTATTAGTTATAATAAAACATGGTACTTATAATTTCTACACGAGTTTTACTGAACCCTTATATTTTATTAATATAATAAGCAATTAGTATATATACTTAATCGTAAATTATTCGTATAAAAATTTCGTTAAAACTTTTCTTATAAAAACAAAGTAATGAATCCTGATATAAAATATTACTGGGAAAATGAAACAAAACAGAAATCCTCTAAATGTCATCTTCTTTGCTGGACAATGTACAAAGTAAAGAATTAGGACTTTTCTTATTCAATACTAGCAATGCCCGCGGCTCCGCCCGCGTTCAGATGACCAGTATAGTCTTACATTGCAGTTTTTGTATTTTTTCTCAAAAATGAGATATTTTCCCGCGGTAAAAAGTATCCTGTATGTTGACCCGGATAACTAGCTATCATCATACCAAATTTCATCAAAATCTGTCCAGTGGTTTTCTCGTGATGCGGTAACAGACAGACAGACAAAAATTCTAAAAACTAGATTCGGACTCTACATCGATAGTATTGTCTAAATCAATTACATTTTCCAAAAAATATTTGATGTACAGATTCGACTTAGTTACAATTTTATTATATGTATAGATTCTATAGATAAACTTATTCAGAATAAGGTAGGAATTATCTAATATACAATACACAATAATTCGTAATATTCAATATCATTTATTTTAAAGTATTTATCATTTATTTTAAATTAAAAGATCATAAATTCTAAATACTTATGTACAAAAAATTTCCTAAACTTGTAACACACGCTATTCGGCAATAGATGGCGCTGCTAAAATAAACTTAAACTTTATTTTCATCCTTCCGAATGTTCGGGTCATTTTTTCCGGCTTTATTCTCATCTTCACTAGACGATGATGATTGTTCTCCCGAATTATTGAAATAGTCGGGAGGATATTTAATAATAGTAGGCCTTCTTGTAAGACTTGCTCGTTTGATAGCGTCCACTACTAATCTGTCAGAAATGTTGGCTAACGGTGAACTTGCTTTTTCGTATAATATGCCTGGCAGAGGCGGTGCGTTCATGGAGCCTGAAAATATAATAATTTAACATTAACATTTTATTTAAATAATATGAAGAAATAAATTTTCTTGTTATTGAACTTTTAAAAGATATTAAATATTAGATTTAGAAAAATCATTGTTCTGGTATTCAATGTGCCATGGGACTAAGGTAAGTAAAAATACTTTATTAAATTATACGTAAATAAGCGTATTAGGGAAATGATACAGCAGTAAGCGCCTGCCATATTTTTAAATTTCTTGCTTACCACAATTTTACAAATACGTAGCTATTTAAATCATCCGGTGGATGTCAAAGAGGAAATGGAGATTCATACTATAAAAATGTTAAAGTAACTTTGTCTATTATCTATTTACATCAAAACCGAACAAATTTCTATGTTTGATAAAGACCTAGATTGCATCATGCGGACTAGCATTGACTACCATTTACTAAGTCTCGCCTAGCAATCGTGCGTAAACAAAGCCCGTCTAGGTTTGTATATACTGTTTTGGGATAGTTCCCTCTCCGGATACACACAAAGTATATTATATCTGAAGATCTTCTACTATTTTTATTTTTTTCTAAAAAAGGCAATGCTTTTACGTGGCTATTTGTAACGCTATATCACTTGGCTCTACCAAACCTCCACATAAAATATAAATAAATAAATATGTTGGGACATTAACACACAGCACCATCTAGATCCATGGTAAGTTACGGGGCTTGTGTTATGGATACCAGATAGTTGATACACTACACATATATAACTTCAAATACATACATATTATAAATATAAACACCCATGGAGTACAAACAAACTGCTCATCACACAAATGAATGCCCCCAGCAGGACTCGAACCCGTGACCGCTGGCATAGCAAGTAGGGTCACTACAAACTGAACTAAACGTGTCGTCATAAGTCATTCAGTGCGTGAATCAAACACACGACTGTAGAAATGGTCCCATAGGTAGCATTATCCTAAAAAGATGTTTTTAAAAAAACCGATTCCAGCCACGGCGACCAATCTTATTGAGACTAGCCAACTGCGCAGGAGATATTATACTGCACAAGTGTACGCGCAGACACAAGTGCACTCTCTATTCCTGTCACTCTCATACTCCGGTGGGACGACCACTTGACACGACCAGTGAGAGTGAATGCGTAGGACCGACGGCTTTACGTGCTCTCTGAGGCACGGGGGTAAAACACCGCCAACTTTCCAACTCGGGGCTGTTACTAAGACTTACTATACAGAAAGACCCAATAACTAAACTTGGCCCGACCCGGGACTCGAACCCAGGACCTCCAAGTGTGCAGCCGTACATGCTAGTCACTAAACCACCGAGGCAGTTAAAAAAATATAATTTTTATTTAAAAATCTCATTGATATGGCTATTTTGACTATAAACAAGTACTTATATTGTCCAACAATAAATATGCCGCGATACGTTATTTGAATATCAACACGTTTCATAAAAACTCAAGCTATTAAGTAAGGTGTATACATTACCTGTCCATGGTTTCTTATCTTGTAGGGAGGGGACTTCACATTTTATCAACACCAACTATGACGAACACTAGTACATACATAAAATATTTTTGTAGAGAATGGACACCTTTATTTAATTACGTACACAAATTAAACTAATTGAATTGTTAATTTATAGTGTTCTATATTAAAAACACATGCACACCTGTTAAAATATTTGTCTTAATATATGAATTGTCCGTAAGCTCCAATCTCTACGTATAATCTTGTCATCCGACACCAAATTAAATTATATAAATAAAGCGACATATACCAAAGCCATTGAAGCAAACGATCACGAGCTCATATTACAACTTCAACGTAAAACAATAGTCGTAACCGTAATGTAATATTACTACTTAATAGCTATATATATATATATATATATATATATATATATATATATATATATATATAAAGTTTTAATTTTAGTTGTTTGAAGTTCCTCACTCAGCAATAAGGTTACACTTTAAAAAAATGCTTATTATATAATTCATTTATTATGTAACTTGTAAGGTATTAAGACGTTTCCAAAGGTATTGTAAATTAAACACGAGTTAACACTACAACATAAATTATTCATTCAATATTTACATCGAACAAAATCATATACATATAATATGATCACTATCTCTCCTATATAAAGGTATATCATATAATTGTAATGCTACCTTCACAAACTGAACCAATAAAATAATTTAATAGATGCTGTATTACTCGTAGAAAAGAAACATAAAAATTGTAATATATATGTTATGTAAGTAAAATTACATTTTAGTAGGTATCTGCTGTCTTTAATGATATTAATTTGTTTTTTTTTTTAATTAATATTTTTGCTCTAAGTATGTTATCTTTAGATAACATTACAATTAAATATTTTTAATAAAACTAATAAATAAATCATAATACAAAACTGTCGTTAAAAATTTTATTTAAATGACTGGTAACTACAAATGATACAAGCAGTAAAAGTAAATAAATTTTACTTAACACTATTGTATATTATCAAACAAAAATATAATTTTATAAAAATAAATGGAATGTATATCAATAAAAGGCACAATGCACAACCTTACAGGAAGACCATATACAATAAACCCTAATTTAACAATAATAATTTGTAAATATTCTTATTCTCTGAGAGATTCTAAGATTTAAATGTACTGTGTACTATTTCGACGTGACTAGCAAAATGAAAATGGAATTTTTAATTCAAAAAAACATCTATACTAATAAATGGAGAGCCGATTTTTTTGTTCGTTTATACTGCGATAACTACTGAACCGATCGGAATAACATATCATAAGATGCAGCGTGTTTCGGAGAAGGCTTTAGTATATGATATGTTGGTGATTAATGTACTATGCGGGCGGAGACGCAGGAAAACGCTAGTATGTTATAAATTTTATATCTTCTGATACTATTTCAAAGACTAGTTGAAATCAATAAAAATAACTTCACTTACTCATATATACATTACACTTATATATCTAATTTCAAATATATTAACAACTAGAGATTCTAGTTCATTTAAAATAGATTTATTTTTATTGAATTTATATATATTTTTTATTTTTTAATATTTTTTAAATTATTTATTAATAATTTTCAATTTGGCATACGACATATAAGAATTTTCAAGATTATATTAAAAATTAAAACATTGATTGATAATTTGCTGATAGTAGATAAATTTTAAACTTTTTTTTTAAACTTATAAAGTCTCAGACCAAAAGAATAACGTAGACGGAGTGTCTCCATAATTAATACCAATATCAGAAAGATAATCTAATATAATTATTATTTGCTAATGATTTTTTGTTCCCCTTCATACATTTGTTTCTAATTGCACTCGTGTTCTTGATCGCTTCTCAACACAGTGGGCGAACTACAAGCTATTGTAGAGCCATATTTTAAAATAACTAAGTATAATTCGATATAAAAATAAGATAAACAAATTCTTTAAGTCTGAGGGTGGAGTAATATATAATAAAAATTTTTTTTTAAAGGGTGACGGTAAAATCTCCATTTTTCTGTTCGGCTTTAGGCGCTGGAGTTTCAGGGGCGGCTGGGGATACGGGCGCCTTCGGCGGTCGGTCTGGCAGCTTCAAAACCATATGTTCCGTACTCTCTGCGATACAACACATACATGTACTTATACAATAAATATAAAAACCTATTACTACTATAAATAGCTAGAAATGTAAGAATTTAACATTTCTTTAGTCATAAGTGCTATATATTAAATGGAAAATAAACAAAAAGAAATGGATTGTTACTTACGATCTGTAAATATGGAAATAAATAATATGTAATGTTATAACATCAATCAATACATAATATATGTATGTGTAAAGTGAAATATATTAGTAACATATAAGAAAAGTTAGAAGGAACGCTTTATTTTAAAAACATTTGTATTGAGAAAAATATGAAAATATAAATTTTAGTACATATTAAAAACCTATATTTGTTGGTATCAACATTCTTTATGTATAAACGTTTGTGATACGATTTATAATTTCTATCAATATCTTATCATGATTATTTACATTAAGAAAACATACCGTATAATAAATATAAAACAAATATTACAACATGCATACGAATACGAGTATGAGTGAATGTAAAAGAAAACATTTTATACTGAAGACATTTGCCGTATGCAATGCTTTGTACTTTCTTATGCAGATATGTAAAAGGATTATTAGTCTATTAAATATGATACTTCTAAAAAAACCAAGTCATATTTTGAATCATCTCCCAAAAATTCATTCCTCGTGATTCTCATTGTTGATATTATTTCATTTGTTTGCACATGAACGATAAATATACATAGATATCGTAATTTAAGAAAAATCTAGTTGAATTATTGATTCAAAAATGCTTACAGTATAAAACCATTAGCAAAAAATTTTTTATTAAATAAATATTACATTACTCGTATGTTAATGAAAAACCCCTAATTACATGTCATTTCGTATCTAGACACGAAATATTAACAAATCTACTTCATATTTGTTCATTCATTTAGAGAAATACTGAGTGTCAAAGGCATTAAAGTTAGTGGTTAGTACTTAGTATGTTTACGTAGTATTTTAAAGGCATATTAAAATATCGATTTGAAAATAATAATAAGTCATAAATCCAAATCGTCTGAGCGACAATTTAAATAAACATTAAAATTGTTTATGGTCATATTAAAGGTAATAGACCAAATTGACCACAGTAACAGTCGTGCTTAAAACGTAAGCGAAATATTATTATGTATCCTGCTTTAAAAAGGGGGAGTTGTGAATTATTTGACAAAATGGTACATCCTGTTAAGATTTGGATATGGGAAGATGATATATTGCCAGCACAGACGGAAACGTTCATCATGCATATTTTTATGAAATTTGGCGTAATTTTCGTTGTTACGACAACTAACTACAAGTAAGTATTTCATTTTAACATTACTTTCTAGTAAAGTAGCAGCATATAAACGCTTTGTCACAAGCAATATGTATAGATATAATAAAATTGTAACTAAGTCGAATCTGTACATTTAGTATTATTTGGAAAATCTTATTACAGAGGCCGAATTTATAGTTTTTAGAATTTTTGTCTGTCTGTCTGTCTGTTACCGCATCACAGAAAAACCACTGAAGGGATTTTTATGAAATTTGGTATGGTGATAGCTGGTTATCCTGGTCAACGTATAGGATACTTATTACCGCGGGAAAATGTCTCATTTCTGAGAAAAAATACAAAAACTGCAATGTAAGAAAGAGTATACTAATATGTAAAACCTAAGAATTTAATCTAGTCTCTAATATAAAATGAAAATGCTGGTCTCTAATATAAATATTATTTACGTAATGAATATTTTATTATAATGACATATAGATATAGAGACATGCAATTATTTATCAACTTTTTTTACCGATTCCAAAAACCTTTAGATACTACGTTTTCATTGAATACAATCTCGTATTTTTATCTATTTTTTAATCATTTATGGCTATTTTTATATTTATATTTATTTATCTTCCTTTAGATAATAATATAATAAAGTTTTTAGTTCTACAGGAAATAGCCATCGCGTTTGTGTATCCTTCTTAATCAGTATAATTATCAACATAACAAAGTGATATAAATAACATTTTCACTGCTTTACTTATTTGAAAACAAATTTATTAATTATTAACATTTTCATTGAATATTATAACTATGCTTTCCATCTTAAATTTTCAAATCACAATGCGGTTTAGTATTACCTCATTTACGATATTGGTAATAATTTATTTTATTGTTATTTATTTAATCATTTACTTCGGGCAATATTTATTAATATTTTACTAAAGATGTAAATTTTAATAGTTTTTGTTAAAAAAAAAATTAACTTGTATACTATTGTATACTCTTAAGTACCCACTATATAATCATCTATCGGTGCAATATAATGAAAGCATCTGCTTTTTTAGTTCTTTGACACACGCTTAACAAGAGATCATGTGAATTTACTAACAACTAAGAAATTATGAATAATAACGCCATATAAAGTAATGTTTTACGTTAGCTCTGCCTTACTCAGACTTCTGATTCAGAGAAAACAACTAATTATTCATATTACCATTATCTTTACAACTAGCAATAATTATAAAATAGATATATAATCCATACTAATTATTATAATGTGAAAGTGTGTTTGTTTGTTTGTCCTTCTTTCACGTCGAAACGGAGTGACGTTGTGGCGTGATTTTTCCCCCCATCTTATTCCCCCGGGAAAACACGTTATAATACAATCCAAAAAAATATTTATAATCAGAATTACTTGAAACTTGGTATTAATGTTCTTCAATAAAATTAATTAAATACGTGTTTTAGCATTTTTCAAAATTCATGCTATAAGGGAGTAAAATTGGGGATGAAAATTTGTATGAAACTACCTTTTTAGATATTTCTTTGTAGTTTTAGCGCGAGCGAAGCCGCGGGTTCTGCTAGTTAGATACTTAATAAATAAAATCAATTACAATTATATTATTTGTAGGAATAATGAAGATAGTCTCCTCATTATTTTTTATACCATTTGCGTGTAAAGTGGGTTAAAAAGCAAATTAACGTGGTCAATATTGCACTGTTTTGCAGTAATTTCTCGGGTAGTAAATAAGTTATTATCATATAATGTTACGAGAAAGACAGTTGGTTTGTTGACCCTAGATAAATTGTGTCTTAGATAATTCTAAACAGTTCATCACGGAAATACAAATTTATAATTTTACACCATATTGTAGATTTTTGATTTATAGTTTCATATAAGCATATTACGAGTAAAATGTTAAGGAGGAAATTTTTTCGCTCGTCAATCTATCACTTAAAATAAAGATAAAATTTTTAGTATTAAGATAAGCTGACATGAAAAGCGTTACGATTACAGGTTTTTGCACAAATAACTGCCCACCGCCGAAACCACGAGTTAATCTTATGGAGAATAAAAAACTTACCAATAGATCTACGGTCTGCTTGATTCCCATAGAATTCATCCAATTCCTTAGCGGAACAAAGTGGAGTGTCGACTTGCGAAGTGTCGTCGAATTTAGAGTAGTCTACCTCGTATCCTTGACGCTCACGGTTATATGTCACTAATGGCAAAAACCTATGTCCCCACATTATTTCACTTGTTGTATAACTAGATCGCGCTTGTGTCGTCTGTCCCGTAGATTCAATAGTTCCCTCCAGAATAACTACAATTTCAAACTTTTCTTGAAGCACATCTGCTGCAGAAACACCATAAAACGGACTGTTCGCGTTTATTTTATGGACCATTGTAATAGGCCAAATGAAGAAAAGATTGCTATCACAGCCGTCCGCATTCAATTCTAGTTCAGTTTGATAATGCGATAACAGCTCTCCTTCCTTAGTTGTCCTAGATCGAATTAACTGAGCTCTCACGCTGGCTCCGATTATATGAGATTTCCTCAAGTCGCCGACCCGGAACATAAGACATAATTCACCATCCCTTTGACAGATCACAGCGTATTTAGAGAAAAGAAGTGTCTGTGTTCTGTGCTTTGGTCTCGTCATCTTAGCGAACACAATGCCCACCATGAACGCTTGAATCATCACTCCGACTATACTTTGTAAGCACATTATAAATATTGCTTCTGGGCATTCTTCAGTTGTAGTACGTGATCCGTATCCAATTGTATGTTGCGTTTCAATACTGAATAAGAAACATGATGTAAAGTCGTGAATATTAAAAACACATGGTTTAAACCCCGTCGCGTCTTGCATCGAGGGTAGGTGGTCCGGTTCCAGGTCGCCATGTGTAAATGCTATGAGCCACCAGATGAGTGCGAAACCCAACCAGGATAATATAAATGAAAGAGTAAATACAAGGAGGGTCCACCGCCACTGAGCATCCACGAGTGTTGTAAACATATCCTGAAGAAATCGCAATTTACGCTGTGAGATCCGTGACTTGAGAATATTACATTCACCATTTTTGAGAATAGCCCGTCTTCGTGTTCTCCTAGAAGCGCCATGTCTATGCGAGCGGCTCCTGTAAACAAATACACACAGTACTCATTACACCAATCTAACTCAATGATCTTCAAACGTATGTAGATGATCGATTGTAAGTGAACGCGTAGATCACGCTCCTATAGTCGCTACGCTGCTACGACCTTCGTCAATGTTAATAATCTTAATGTGCAACATTTAAATAACTTGATTTACTTATATTTATATATGTATATTAACTCGAAAACCAAAAAATTTAAATACTTTATAAAAGGAAAGAAATAGAAAGCGATAGTACAGATGTGAATTCGGAGTCGCAGGTTGTCGCGGATCGAACCTCTTGATGGTGGGGTAATAGACTCCAGGAGAAAGGTTTCCATTTCCAGGAACAGCCTTGATTTTGAGCCACTCCTCTGGCAGGAGATGAGCCTCCTCGCGGGAGGCGGGAGACTCGGGGTCGTGCATGGCGTCGTGCGTGCGGTTCACTCGCGGCCGATCGTCTGCGCCACCATCCCCCGGAGCTCTCGTGCCTCCTGAAGCATCGCACGCGATAATGTCGCGATCACGACTGCCTCTATCGTGCTCGGTCGACGCGTTAAACGCTTTATAATTGTATCGCGAAATTCTATATCAAAATTATCAGTTCGCCTTGGAAAATAAAGTTTTGTTAGTGCCTATTTTGATGTCAGTACTATATACAGAATGTTCTCTAGTTACGTTATTGTTATATTTTTATTAAATTAAAATTATAGGAATAATATTATAGTTAATTATATTTTGAAATTTTTTACATAATATAGTAAATAATACCATTCATATGTCAATAATCATATTAATAAAAAAGTAAATATAATTAATAAAGAAATATAACTTCATATATATTTACTTATGTAGGTATGTAAAGAGTTCACTACTATACAAAATCTGAGTGTTTTTATTTAAAGTTGACTAAAAATACCGGAAAAATTCATCAAACGCTTATTATTATTAACACGTATTCATAGTAATATTGCATTTCCTGTTTTGAAGTAAGACTGTGGTATGACAGGACTGAATTTTTTTATTAAGACAAAGAGCGTATTTTCAATTTAGCTCAAGCAAAATGTATCCTATGTTTGATGTATCAATGAATATTATAACCAAATACACGGTCAATAAGTCATCCACAGTATGATGGAAAATGAAATTAAACTAGATAGTAATTAATGTAATCTATCTGTCTAATATATTTAAACGAGCAATTTTTGTATATTTATTTATTTATGTATTTAAACCGTCGATTTCGCAAACGGCTCTAACGATTTCGCTGAAATTTGGTATGTGGCGGTTTTCGGGGGCGAAAAATCGATCTAGATTAGTCTTATGTCTGGGAAAACGCGTGCTTTCAAGTTTTCATGCGGTTTTCTTTCGCATGCAAAATATGGTAACTAATTTTTGCACGATCGGGCATAAGCAAGCGAGTATCAAGCGGCCAAGGCGTAAGAATGACAATCACAGGTATCCGGGTTCGAATCCCGGTCGAATACAAAGTACTTACTTTTGTTTTTTTTTTTGTGTTTATTCAAGTTTTTATTTATTTATCTAAAAATACGATATAATAAAAAAGAACTCCAAGCGACGCTCGGTTGCCCAGGTACTAAACACAAAGAGATAAAATTTTAAATTTCCAGCTTGCTTAGAATAAACCTTGCTAATATTTCTCTATACCTTTTTACCTGACTTTGCGACGCAAAGGAGGGTAATGTGTTTATCAGCCTATGTACATATGTATGTATGTGGGTTTGTACCTTTATGGCACTATTTAGACCAAGCGCGTGGGCCAATTTTGATAAATGACATTTCGTTTGATTCGTCATGACTATGCGCGAATGCTATAGAAAGCATAAAAATTTGGAAAAATCAAAATAGCCGATTTTGAACGTCATATTGTGACAAAGAAAAAATGGAAAGTGACGAAATATGTCAAGTAGGGTATCGTCGAATAGGTATTTAAAAATCATTTTTAGGTTTCTTCATCATTTTGCATTTTAAATAACAGTTTAGGATATACAATACATAATTTAAAGTTGGTTAACACCCATTCTTTCTAATTTTCCTACTTAAAAATACTTAAAAAGCTGTAAATAAATATCTATATATATATAATAAAATTATAACCAAGTCGAATCTGTACATTAGATATTTTTTTGTAAATCTTATTGAAATAAACATTATTATCGATACAGAGGACGAATCTATAGTTTTTAGAATTTTTATCTGTCTGTTACCGCATCACAGAAAAACCACTGGAGGGATTTTGATGAAATTTGGTATGGTGATAGCTGGTTTCCGGAGCAACATATAGGATACTTTTTACCGCGGGAAAATATCTCATTTCTGAGAAAAAATACAAAAACTGTAATGTAAGAGTATACTAATATGTAAAACCTAAGAATTTGGTTTTTGATCATCTGAACGCGGGCGGAGCCGCGGGCAATGCTAGTATATAATAAAAATAAAAAATCCGACTGCATAAAAGTTAACTAAAATGATGAAAACAAGTTCACGAAGGAATATAGTATTATGCAGTCGGAGACATACATACGAGTATGTACTACATCTCGCGGCAAGGATAAAACTTATTTTTTTTTAAATTTAAAACGTGTAGTGTTGCGTATATAATGTATGTATATAATGTATGTATATAATGTGATATGTAATAAACTAAAGTAATACAATGCAGTATTTAATTCAAGTAGGTACCTTCAAGTATGCACTTATGTACATATATTTTCCATCATCAAGAAGATAAGTGTATAATGAAAATTCTGATATGTATTGGTAGAAATAACATTTTTCTGCTTATATCGTTTTATTGTTATTCGAAATTATTAAAAAAATATATATTTTCTCGATCATTCTGTAGATCACTCCCTGATTTTTAATTTTATAACTAATCTGACAGTGCAAATTAGTACGTTAACGTGCATTGTTAAAGCTCTAATTTGTAGCTCTCGACTTATTATGTTTGAAGGTTATTTCAAATATTCTATATTTGTTCACGTCATAAACCATTATTTACAAATATTTGACTTACATCTTTACGATTATGACGTTTTTAAATAACTATAATTTTACGGATTAACATAATAACTTTTTACGAATGCCATAAATTTCGCTTTTGTTCGTGGAAAGTATTTATATATTATTATTATTATATTATTTATTAACTCATTGAAAATAAGCAACATTTTTTTTTAAATTGAATACATATTTCATAGATTTATACAGAAACAATAACTCCTGAAAAATATCCATCGAGAATACTTAGTCAGAGATCGAAAGTAAATTAGTGAAAATAAATTTTATTACTTAGAAAAATACTTGTTTTATCGTGTAGCAAGAATATTCTAGTAAATTAATTAATATATCAAAATAAATTAACGATTTTTTCTTGTACATTATGTTTATATTGACGTCTAATTTTTCTACCAGACTTCAAAAAGGAAGCGGGTCTTCATTTTTCTACGTATATATATTTTTTTTATATTACTTACTAATAATACATATACCTTGCGTGGGTTACCGTCGCCTTTAAGTATATCTAATTGGAAACTTAGGTATCTACTGTAAATCCTTTCACCTTTCAGCTATTTACAATTTTTGATTGACTTTAAAAACGAGAATGTATACTCGGTTGTATGTTTTTATATGCAAATTACTCAATATCTTCTAAGTTAGTTTATATTAATTGTTTATGAAAGTCATTATTTAATCCTAAGCAATTATAGGAATCTCTAATTTAGTTCATTAATAGTGTTTAAGTTAGATTAAAGCGTTTGTCTATTTATTTTCTGTCAGTCAATCTGTCAATTGTCAAAAGTGAACACAACTTTTACTAACACGTTGTGCTTTCAGGCTAGAAAGCTATGGGCTTTAAAGTTAAAAACAGAGTTCATATTTTTCTTTGCAATTCTCATAAATTAAAAAGGACATTTACAAAACTCATACTTGTAATGTATATTTACGCTTGAATGGTCGCGGATACGCCGGCATGTCAGTTAACAATTGATTTCCCGGAAACTTACCACGGAGGCGTTAAAATATTCGCACCATCCGAAAATCACCTTAAAAGAAACCCCCACAAAGCTTGTTTATATGTATTATCTTAATCAGATGTTATAATTTTTATAAATGTACTTCAAACAAGAAATGATTATGTGTCAGTATGTTTATTTCATATATAACACGCTAATGAGATTTAGCTCTTTATCTGTGGCTTAAAAAAGATAATTCTTCACATTATATAATATTATTTCAATCTTCGGCCTGGCTTTGTTGTATGATATAATTGAAAGAAACAGTACATCTCAGATCTTGTCAGTAAACGAAGAATTATCAATACTTATGTATAACATAAAATTGGTAAGATCAAATTTATATTGTTATCCACACATTTATGTCTTAGATTCCTTCAATTCTTTTTGGAATTCAACATGGGAAAAGTTCGAAGGTTTTTAAAAATACTTGTTTGAATCACTCAATTAATTATAACATATTTGATACTAGCGACTCACCCTCGCTCCGCTCGGGTTTGTCCCTACTTACGTTTTAACGTTTAGTATAGATTTCTCAGATATGAGATATTTTCCTGCAGTAAAAAGGATCCTATATTGACTCGGATAACCAGCTATCATGATACCAAATGTTCATCAAAATCCCCCCAGTGGTTTTTCCGTGATGCTGTAACAGACAGACAGACAGACCAAAATATCTATTTCAATAAGATTTTCCAAAAAATATTTCATGTATAGATTATACATGTTTAAATTTAACTAATACTAAAAAATATTCGATACATAGGTACTTAAGCAAAAATTAAGAGTTACGACGTATATGATATAATTTTGTTAGCGTAGTTCTGCCTTCATCGTTAAACTAATTGATTGATTTGCACCACACCTCCGAGTAAATACGTCGATGCACGATTTTATATTTGCTATCAACAGATAACTAATAGGATGAATGTCGTGATAGCAGAATCAGCATTCATTTACCACA